AAGAGCCGCAATGGGCTGAATTTAATTTGACCAAGCGGCCATAATTTTTTAAAAACTTTACTCTCTCGATACAACCACTTTTTATGACGTATCATTTGGACACGTTTCACAGTGATCTAGAGTTGGGGGCCTGTGCACAGGGGTTTCAGGGACTGCTGGAAAAGGAATGAAACAGGAGGGTAAGTGGGATAAACATGGAAACGACGTCACTCTTGTCTGCAGGCTTAATGGCTACACCTGTGGGACATCAGTGTCAGTTCCTGGAGTGACTCACGTCCCTGAAAAATGCAGCACATCATGAAAAACCACCCGCAGCAGGGCGTGTTCCAACGGCTGAGGAATGACCCCCAACTGGACATGACTTTGGAGTTTGGCCAGTGGGGCTGGTGCAGTGGTGCCGAGGTGGCTCACTGCCTAGTATATGAGAGGCACCTGCTGGGGAAATGCCCTGGGCACAGTGATACGGGCTCCCAGGCAGAGGGACCCCAGCTGTCAGGGGGCTCTGAGCCAACCAGGTGACCTGAGTTTGGGGGATGAGGGGGGCCCTCGGTGGCATTTCTGATCTATAAGCAACTGCCTTGAAGCTCTGCTTTAGGTTGATCTTGGAGGCCCTGAAGGGCATATGGACATGGGCTCTCAGGTGGAACAGGGGAGAGGAAGGGGTGGATCCATCAGCTTCACCTGGACTGCTCCAACGTCACCCTCTTCACTTCCCGGGGGAAATGGAGGCCTGGGGGAGGGACCACCAACCCATCCCCAGGGTCAATCGCAGGCCCAAGGACTCAGACCCTCCGGCAGTAAGAGGTTCTCTCCTGGTCCATCTCCAAAGTCCATTTCATAGGCATCCCTGCACTGAATCTGGCCTGGGGTCTGCAGCCAGGCCTGAGGTATGAGCAGGGACAATGTTAGGGGCTGGACATTGCTCCCCAACCCCAACCAGATTCATATGTTCTAGTCCTAACACTCAGTATTCACAGAATGTGACCTTATTTGGAGACGGGGTCTTTGGGAAGTCATGAAGTTAAACGAGATCATTGGAGTGGCCCCGATCCAATATGCCTGCTGTCCTATCAAAAGGGAAAATTCAGAAACAGAGGCAGACACACAGGGGAGGACACTGAAGAGTCACAGGAAGGATGCCATGTGAAGATGAAGGCAGAGTGCAGGGCGATGCTTCTAGAAGCCAAGGAGTGCTAGAGGTTGTCAGCAGCCGTCAGGAGCTGGAGAGGCTCAGAAGGGGCCGGCCCCGCCAGCACCACCAGCTCAGACTTCCAGCCTCCAGAACTGGGAGAGAATTGACTCCTGGTGTTGAAAACACCGTTTGTGGTGCTGTGATGCAACCCTGGTGGGGGTGGGGGGGGTGACATGCATTGGGCTCAAGGATCCAGGAACCCCCGCCAGGTCTTCCTGTTGTCCTTAGAAGCCAGGCAGCCACGTGGAGGAGAGGACAGTGGAGCAGCATCCCCAGCCCCGAGCCCTTGAATCAGTCGGCCTTTATGAACTACAGGTGCGCAGTCCCTTTCTGAAGAATCTGACATGATGGGGGTCCAGGGACACCGAGCATGAGCATTTTTCAAAAGATCCCAGGTCTTTCAAACATGCAGCTGGGGTTACCCACTGCTAGCCCGGGTCCGGCCAAAATGCCACCAGTGATTAGAGCACATGGAGGTCACAGCCAGCAACGCAGGGTGGGCCAGGGCCGGGGACACAGGCCACGTGCCTGCTTTCCTGTGTGGCACTGCTCATGCTTCTTCACGCTTCACTCTGGGGGCCTGCAGGCCCCAGGGCTGTGCTGGGAGAAGCTGATGAAGCCCACCCTCAGGCCCCGCGCCACGCCAGAGAAGCATGGTGTGCCCCGGTTAAGAGAGAAGTGGGGTGAGATGAGCAGGGCACAACTGTGCCCGAAAGACTTCAGAACAGGAATACGAGCCTGGCACGGTGGCTCATGCCTGGAATCCCAGCACTTCAGCAGGCTGAGGTGTGGAGAATCCCTTGAGCCCAGGAATTGGAGACAAGCCTGGGCAACATAGCAAGATCCCATCTCTAATTTAAAAAAAAAAAAATTAAAACTTTTTTTTAAAAAAAGAAATAAAATGGGATATGCACATTTTCAAGCAGTTATAACTCATGCAAGTGAAACTGTACTACAAGTGCCTAAAACTGGGAGGGGGGGGCAACTGCCTGAGCAAAAAAAGATGCTAGACAAGAAAGATCCGCAGGGCATGTTTGTCTGCAACGTCCCTGCTGGCTCCAGTCCGTGTCTGTCCATACCCCAAGGGACCGACTGGTTTTACTGGCAGCTCCCTGCGCCTGCTTCCATGGGCCACACTCCACCCCAAGGGGCTGGTAACAAGATTATTTTCTGTTCTTCCGTCTTCACTCACAATCTCCAGAGCACGTCAGCTGTTTTGTTAAATTTATTTTTTCTTTTTTTTGAGACGGAGTCTCGCTGTGTCGCCAGGCTGGAGTGCAGTGGCGCGATTTCGGCTCACTGCAACCTCCACCTCGCAGGCTCAGGCGACTTTTCTGCCTCAGCCTCCAGAGCAGCTGGGACTACAGGCGCACACCACCCACTACACCCGGCTAATTTTTGCATTTTTAGTAGAGACGGGGTTTCATCATATTGGCCAGGCTGGTCTCCAATTCCTGACCTCGTGATCCACCCGCCTCGGCCTCCCAAAGTGCTGGGATTACAGGCGTGAGCCACCCCACCCAGCCTGTTCTGTTAAATTTCATAGTTCAACATCAGTGCCAGAAACTAGATTATGCTGTATGTGCTCATGTGCAAATCTTCCCGAAATCATTTTCGTGACTTGCACACTTTCTCTAGCCTGATGATTTGCCATGGCTTCTGGGGGATGGCATCAACTTCTCCTACAGATGATGGTCACGTGGGGGTTGGACTGAGGTCTGCAGTCTGGAGACTGGACCCTCAGTTATGCCCCAGCCGCCTCTGAGGAAGGGGGCCTGGTTCCTACCATTTTTAGGTTGCTTCTGGTCACTGTTTTCCCATCTATGGGATTTTAAAACAGATTCCTTAATTAGCTATTTATGTCTGCTAGACTCTGTAGGGACAGATAGGAAAGCTAAGGTTTGGAGAGGCAGTGGTCTGGGGTCACACGCTGACGGGGGCAGGTGTGTAACTCCAGGCTTTCTGGCTCTGAAGTCCATGTTCTCAGGCCCCACTCTTCCATGCTGCTCAGGACGTCTGAGAAGTGGCCAGCCAAGTGTCTGGAGAAATGGGCACATCTGTGGTCCCTGGGGAGGAGCCTACAGAGAGGGTGGACACCTCAAAGCCCCTGGGGTCTCACGGAGCAAAGCCCCCTAATCCGGCAAGGACTCAGGCGGGATTCCCAGAACGAGCTGCATCTCCAGAGGCATGCAGGGGCGGGGGAGGAGGGGATCCCAGCCATGCTGACTCACCTCAGGCAACATGTGACTCATCAGCCATGAAGGACCACCACTCGGACAGAGGTCATTCCATTCCCTTTCTCAATAGCACCTGGAAAGCCTGTCTCGACTTGGAAGCAGACTGTCCACCACTACCTTTGGGGTAAACGTTGCAGGAAGAACATGACCCCCGATTTGCCACCGCACACCAAATAGCCGCCCCACAGTGGCTGTGAGGGTCGGAGCCGACACGGGAGCACTGTCTCCTGGGCAGTGACCCCATATGGAATGTACTTGTCTGCCCACCTCGACGAGCAATGCCTGGAAGGCGTCGCTGTGTCAACCTGGCTGCAGCCCCGGAGATGCAATAGAACAAGAGCTGAGGAGTGGTTGGGAGGGCACTGTGCAGATGTGGGGAACAACTCCACCAGCAGACTTTAAGTAAAGGAGATTATCCTGGAGAATGTGGGTGGGCCTCGTCCAATCAGCTGAAGGCCCTAAGAGCAAACACTGGTTTTCCAGGGAGGAAGAAATTCTGGAGCATCAGCTCTTGCAGGGGTCTCTAGCCTGCCGCCTTGCCCTGCAGATTTCAGACCTGTCCGCCCCCACAGTCATGTGAGTCAGTTCCTTAAATATGTAACCTATGGCTTCTGCTTCTCTGGAGGACCCTGACTGACCCAGTAACTGATGGGAGGGTATGCTGCACTTGACTTTGAGCCTGCAGAACCTGATGCCCTTTGCTGACAGCGAAGTTCACACCACAGGCAAGAACAGCCAGGGCCATGTTGATTTCATGAAGCCTGTCTACCTGATTCTGGGCTCCCTTCTCTATGCCAACAGCAAGAAGCAAGATTTGGACCTCACCCACAACCTTCAAGATTCCTCAAGACAATTTGGGGAGAGGTGATGTGAAATTTGAGGCAAATAACCAAGATTTTAAATGGGGGACAGGGAGAAGAAAAGTCTTTCCCTGGTTCTCACAAGGTTCAAAACACAAATCATAAAAAGGCTGAAGCATAAACAAATACATAAAAGAATTTTAACATAATTAATCTAAATTATAGCTCTAATGTCATAAATATTTCCACATTTATTCCTATTTGTCTCTACTGGGTCTAACAGATATAAATAGCTAATTGAAGCATCTGTCTTAATATTCAGCAGATACGAAAACAATGACCAGAAAAAAAAATTGTCTTTGGCCTCCCAAGTACTGCTTCAGATTTCAACTGGAACCACAGATGCTCCATTAATAGACATGACTACTTTTTAGATCTGGAGGAGGACGAAGGGAACCAGCCTCTTCCTGTGGGGCCACAGTGAGGTTGCTTGGTCACGTCAGGTATCAGAGCGAGTATCAGAGCGAGTATCAGAGCGAGCGCCCTCACCTGAGAGGTGCTGCACAACCTCGGCTAGAGCACTTTCAGGAGGAGCGCGGGGAACTAGCAACCTAGGAAGGTAAAGGCGGAGAGGGGAGGGAGCGCAAGGCAGGCAGGCCGGCTGGCTACAGGCTGCACTCCTAGGACGGCTACATGTAATTGAAAAAAATAAGACGAAAATAACTTACTGTGCAGGCAATTAATTCTGGTTGGCATAGCGATCCTCTTAAGTTAAGGGGAATGAGCAGGAGATGAAGAGAAGAGGCAGAATTATGCAAGAGCAACATCAGAGTGGACGTGGGCAAGGGTTCTGAGCTGCCTAATCACACGCACACGGGAAGTCACTGTGCGGGACATTTGGTGACCCGTCTAATCACACGCACACGGGAAGTCACTGTGCGGGACATTTGGCAAGGTTTTCTACTGTTCAGTTTGGTTTTTTTTTCCCAAAACCTCCCTTGAAACTTTTGTCCTTACTTGCGGTAATATAATTTACCCTTGTAACCATTTCTAGCTACACAGTTCAGTGGTGCTGAGTATCCACAACAGTGGCCAACTTCATTGATCTTTTTGTAAACTAAAAGTAGATCAGAATTTGGGGACTACATTTCCTGTGTTGGCTGCAGCATCACAATATGTCCATTTCCAACCAGCAGAACCTCCCTGAGAGTTCTAAATACACAGACACTCTCAGAAACCTAATACAAACTCCTCACTCAGGCAGAAGATACAGACAGTTCTTAAACAAACAAACAAACAAACAAATAAAATCTTTAGTTTTTAAAAAAGACACCCTCTATTACCAGTTTTGAGAAATGTTTGGTCAAAAAATGAAAATTATTTGGTACTCATAACACAGAATCTCTCAGGCTGTGACAACATCTCACAGAGATGCTGAGTATGAGTCTTTTAAAAAAACACTGGAAGGAAAAATTTTAAACCGCTGCCAAGTATGTCCTGTTAAAAAACCTTTGGTCAATGCAGTACAGACGCAGGGCCAGACGAACTGCATAGCTGAGCCTCTCTGCTGCCTTCCCAAAAGCCAAGCCTCGGGGAGCTCCGCGCAGGCGGTGCGGGCGGCCAGCCCCAGCTCCCAGCACACCTGCCTAACACCCAGTCCTGAAACAGTTGGGAGGACCCTTCATCCACCTAGCCCGTGAAGGGAGAGGAGCAGGGTGGCTGACACAGAGAGGATGGAAACCCAGCGAAAGGCCTCGCCAGGAGGGAAAGCAGACAGAGGAAGGAGGAAGGGCCGGGTGAAGGAACACAAATCTTGGCATGAGCAGGGTGAGCGAGGCTTGGCATTTCAGAAGGAATGAGGAGGGCAGATGTGGGGCTGGGTGCTGCCAGGACAAGAGGAAATGGGCCACTGAGTCAGGGAAGGGAGAGGAGGAGACGTCCCACCCTGCACCCTGTGGGTCCCACCTCGCCCAGCACTCACCATCTCCAAGACAAAGAATAGGCCTCAGGTGTGCGGGTCAGGTGACCAGGTCACCTTTGACATAACCCAAGCCAAGGCCTCTTAACAGGAGCACAGGAGCCTGTCACAGAGGTCAGCGTGCAGCTTATGGCCCCCACGTGCTCTGTGGATGGGGGCCCAGGCAGAAAGCACCCCAAGGCCAGGCAGTGGGCAAACGGAGGCCAAGGGGTCTGACATCTCACCCAGGAATTTCCTCCTTCTCCCTTTCCTCTCCTGACTTTCCATTTTCCCCACATCTATCCTGACGACACTGGCAAAGAGGGTGGGAGAGGGTGGCCACGGTGTACCATGGCTGAGGGACACAAAGCAAGGACAGGGAGAGAGGGGACGAGGACAGACGCAGAGAGTCTAGCAAACAGCAGGCTGTCAGATTTGGAACCAGGGACATTTGGGACCAGAGCGTCCTGCACTTTGAGGCTGCCTTGTGGGGTGTGTCCTGTGCTGGGTAGGGTGTTGAGTGACATCCCTGGCCTCCATTCACTAGACGCCAGCTACACCCCAGCCTCCCAGTTGTGACAGCTAAAGTGTCTCCAGACACTGCCAATATCCCCTGGAGGAGAAGTGCTGGTTTGAGAACCAGTGGTGTGTGGCATCAAGAACAGAGGGCAAGAGAGGCAGTGACAGCAGCGCTCACCACTGCGCCCCCCAGGAGCCCCTGAGATTTCCCGACAGACGGTCTTAGGACATCCTGAGATTTCTGCTGAGAGGCTTGGAGCCCACACAGGGGCCAGAGCCAGGAGTTAACGCCGAGTGTCACCTGAGCTCATGGCTTGGCTTTGGCGCCTGCCCCGCCCCAGTCCTGTCTTCTGCACTGAGATGTCCTTTTGCCCCCTGAATGGTGGAGTCAGGTGGGCGCAGGCAGCGGACATGTTCTTTCTGATGGAGAAGGACGCGGAGGCTCGGTGAGTCTCACATCTGGAACTGACTCCAAGCTCCTGGACTACATGCCCTTAGCAAATACATTCAGGTTACTCACGCCAAGGTGCTATCTCGGCAAATCTGCACACGCTTAAGGAATGTCTAGTTTTAAAGCCCTGACTCGGGGCGGATGGAAATATTCAGCACTAATGAAAGGCTCACCTCCTCACCACCCACATACTAAGTTAATAGATTCATGATTCCTGGGACTTCTCTCCCTGTAGAGCCTCCTAGAGTCAGGTGGTGAGGTCTGGTTTGTTTTAGGTGCAGGGGAGAGTCAGAGAGGCCCAAAGGAGCAGAGATGCCCAAATCCACAGTGGAAGGTGCCCTGGGCTCTGCCTGGCTTTGCTCTGAGTCTCTGTGGCCCCTTCATAGTGTAGGGCTCCTGGTGACCCCTGGGGAAGCCAGGAGGAGCGAGCCTGGACTGAGGAAGGGGCCTCTAGGCAGGGACACACACTGGCCCCAAATGCAGAGAGGACCCCGACTCTCACACAGAAGGACCTGCAGACACCCCTGTGGGCTCAACCATTCAGCACGGGGCATTGCTGGCCAGGCAGGGGGTGAAGTTGGGAGGGAGCTTGCAGGGGACAAAGGGAAGGAAAGCAGATGACTTCAGCTTGGAAGCCAGCATGAGCTAGAAGCCACCAAGTGGGGGGCCTGGGGTGGGGGGCTCGGGCACAGGTACCTTTATGCTTTTTGGCGGCACCCGGCTCCGAGACACTCAGGGAGCTCTCTGACAGCTCATCACCGTCTGGGTCCAGCAGGGCTGGGCCGCTCCAGGCCGCGGCCTGGGGCTCCTTCTCCAAGTCCCAGGAGTCTAGCTCGTCCTCCTGGGGATTGGGGTCAGAGGGTGCCTGGGCTGACTCAGCTTCCTCCAGCGGGGCAGAGGCTGTGGCTGCCTCCGGATGGGATGGGGCGTCCTCCCGGTGGGCACTGTCCACGGAGGCTGCATAGTCCTGCATCAGGGCAGCATCATGGTCCTGGGACAGTGAGGTCTGTCAGGGCGATGAGGAAGACAAGGGTTACACGAAAGGAAGGGAGGGTTTCAAAACACCTCCAAACATTCTGACAGCTGGTTTCAAAGTCTCAGAAGACACTGCAGCGGGCCTCAGAGAAGGCGCTCACACATCATGGCCGTTGCTCCCTTACAGCCGGGACCACAGCCCCTGGGCAGCCGGCGGGTGGCCCCCGAGACTCAGAGGTTAACCCTCTTCCTCCCACAGATGGGCTAGTGCTGGGAGCATTTGTGGCATCCGTGGAAACCAGACGTGAGAGAGAGCCCGTCCTTCAAAGTCCACGACAGCACAAAGGAAGTGGCTGGGGGTGTTTCGGGTTTTGTTTTGTTTGTTCCCATGCTCGTTTATGTTACCTGCAAGTCAAAATTCACCAGTGCATCCTTTCAAAAATTATATTTTGTGTAAAAATATTTCAGCACTAAATTAACCTCTGAGAGTCGGGCTAGCTCTTCCTAGGAGCGGGGAAAGTTCGGGAAGGAGGGCGTGAAAGCTTCCCGGGGGCCAGTCACGCTGTCCGTGGGGTGGGTGGCAGTGGCACAGGTGTTTGCTCAGGGACCATGGTGCTGCTCTGACTTAAGTGCCAGCCTGTCATCTGAGCATCAACAAAAACAATCACTGCAGTGGACTCAGAACATTAAGTACTAGGATCCAGGAGCTCCTCGTGATTTTTAAATACAATCTTAGAAGAGGTATAGGGGAGATGACCACGGGTCTTGTCCTTACGTGCTCATTCACTCACCCAAGACTGAAGAAAACCCAACTACTGGGCCCTGGACTTGCAGAGAGGCCCCTGGAGGTGTGCTCAGGAAGCCCTAAAAACATCACCCACCTGCCTCAGGGACGTGGGGCAAGGCCACCCTCTGGGTGCAATGGCAAGGCTGATGACTCATCTCTGGCACCCCGAGGTCCTGTTCTGGCCCGTCTTCCAGCCACTGAGGAATTCATCCTTCCGCGTGTGCCCTCTGGCCCACCCTCCCACTCTTTTGCCCAAAATTCTTCCTCATCCCCCCTTACTCCAAACCAAAATCTCCCAACCCTCCCTCCAACTGTTCTTTTGGAAATGTCAAAAAAGAGTACGACCTGGGAGCAGTGGCTCACGCCCATCATCCCAACACTTTGGAAGGCAGAGGTAGATGGATCACTGGAGCCCAGGAGTTCAAGGCCAGCCTAGGCAATGTGGTGAAACCCCATCTCCACCCAAAATACAAAAATTAGCCAGTCTCAAAACAAGTTAGCTGGTCTCAAAATAAACAAATACATAGATAAAAATTTTTAAAATTCAAAAAATTAATAAAACAAGTACGGATCTGTAACATGGCCCTTCACCCGAAGGCTGGCCTTTCTGCAGCCTGGACCACACGCCCGCCGCCACCTGCTGAGCAGACATCACAGAGCGGGAGAAGGGGAAGAAAGGGGGTGCGATGTCCATGCAGGACATTACAGTCTTTGCTTCTTTGATCACAAAAGGAATAAACATTCAGCTCAAAAAAGTAAAAGGCTTTGGAAACACATCACGTGGAAAGTGAAAGTTCCCGTGACTGGGTGGTAAAGAGGGTAGAGTTTCTGCACCAAAGGGGGGTCTTACGTCATATTCCTCTCTTTCTAGAATTATTCTTTAAATGATTCACCAGCCTCTCAACATGTAAAGCATCCCTGATTACAAACTCTCGAGTCTCCGTGGTGAACAGCATAAACCGTGTAAACACGATACCACACATGACTCCTTTGTTGGGTGAGGAACATAATCTGACATTTGCAAATGGAACTATCTGGATGTTTTAAACTTCCTCAAAGGGGGGAGGAGCAGCAGGTCACTGACAGATGCAAACACCTCCCCAGCCACCACGGTGGTACCTTGGAGATCCCTGATATGATAATAGTGCTTTTCTTCCGTGGCGACTTGAGTTTCAGCTTTGAAGATTCGCTGAGTTGTCGAATGGCAACTTCAGCCACTGGATCCGAACCATTCAACACCAACAATTCTGCCAGAGGGAAGGTAGTGTTAAAGTCATCAGCAAAAATTAAAAACTTCTATGGAAAACGGAAATGGCCGATAAGCAATGGTTAGCAGGCATTTTCTAAAAAGGGCCAAACAGTAATCGTTTAGGCTTTGTAGGTGGTCTCGCAACAACTTCTCAATGCCGCTTTTGTAGAGTGAAACCAGCTAGAGACCACAGGTAAATAAATGAGCATGGCTGGGTTTCAATAAAACTTTATTTACAAAAACAAGTGATGGGCCAGATTTTTCCCATGGGCCACAGTTTGCTGTTTGCTGAACCTTGGTCTACAGCTTGATTCCCTGTGGTTACAAGATACTCACTGAAGTGTCTGCTTAAGATTCACCCATTTTATTTATTTAAGTTATACCTGAATAGAGTTGATGGAAAACAGCAAAAGCAAGCAAGTAAACAACAACAACAAAATCTAACCCTCTGGAAGATTTTGAACTTTGAAAGGCTAGGTTAGTGACTCCTTTTCCCTCCCAAGAGTGGCTAAACACACAGAATAGTAACTAGAGCTAGGAAGGTCCAGTTAATAAAAGCAGCTCATTCCCCAGGTTAATAACAATGCACACCAGCCAACATCAACAGAATGCTTACGGCGACCCAGGTGCTGTTTAGAGAGCTGTGTGCACATCCTCTCATTTACTCCTGCTCCACACCCCATGAGCAGGAACTGCTTTCTGTCCCATTTGACAACTGAGGAGGATGTCCATCAGCCAGGAGGCCCCACGGCTGAGACCACCAGCAGGTCTCTCTGACTCAGAGCTGATGCTTATAACTTACACTGTCTTGCTCAGGTAAAGTCAAAATGACAAAGCTATTAACGCAGCACGATGCTAAAAGGAACTTCTCCTGTCACAGTTTGGCCATGGCCTGATGCTTACAGATGCTGTATTTCCAAAGGGAGTCAAGAGAAGACCACAGTGGCCAAGAACCAGTGACAAGTGACCCTGGGAAACAACAGATACTTGGTCTTCCTCCCTGGTTCCTAGCACAGAGAACAAAAAATCTTTTAGAATTCCAGAGCCACTGAGCTGAGGCAATCTTTCTTACTCATCATAAGCCCCTGCGCCCCACCAGAGTGCATGCTCATGAGGATGGGCACTGGATGTCAGAGACTCCAGCCCTGTGGGTAGAAGGTGGAGCTTTCTGCCCTCTCTCACCTGTGGAGAAGGGAAAGGGGCTAGAGATTGAGTTCAATTTACCAACGGCCAATACGTGACTCAATCATGCCTACAAATCTACATATAGAAGCACCATAAAACCCCTAAATGGCAGGTTCAGGAGTGTCCAGCTTGTGAATCAACACATGCACGCACCGAGAGCAGCAGCTCCATGGACACCAAGCTCCTAAGCTCAGGGCCCTTCCAGACCACGCCCCGTGCCCTCTTCATCTGGCTGTGCACTGGTGTGATAATGGACCGTAAACCCAAGTCAAGTGTTTCCCTGAGTTCTATGGGCTATTACAGCAAACAGTGGAACCTGTGGAGGGTGTCGTGGAAACCCCAATGTGTAGCCAAGTGGGACAAAAGTGTGGGAACCTAGGGACCCACTATTTGCACCTGCCGTCTAAAGTTGGACGGTGGTTTTGCGGGGCTAAGCCTTTAACCTGTGGGATCTCAGCTAACTCCAGATAGCACCAGGATTGAATTAAATTGTAGGACACCCAGTTGTCTCTGCAGAGAAACAGAAAATTGCGTGCTGTAGAGAATCTACGCATTTGGTGTCCTGAGTGGTGTGAGCAGAGAACAGATTTCCGTTTAGCTACTGACCCACACTGAGAAGAGAGAATTGCTGAAGGAAGAAGTTGGGGAGGACTCCTTAGGAGAAAGCTGTGCTGTAGCTCCCAGAGCCGCCGAGGGAGAGGCATCGGGAGTACGTCCTCCTCATGCCAAGCCCAGTGCTTCTCTTCAGTCCCCCGAGAGCCCGGCCCAGGTGCTAGGTGCTGCAGCTACAGCGCCTGGCTGCACCGTGGTGGGTGGGCCTGGGACTGGCTCCGTGGTCCCAGAACCCACAGTGGGAACATCAGCCCGGGGTTTTTAAGACGGGACCCTGCAGCGTGGGCAGTGGGGGCACTGCCAGCGGAAGAAACTGAGGAAGGGGCATCAGGAGCAGCGGCCAAAGCGTCAGAGGCATTAGCACCACAGTGGCTCCATCTCAAATAAGTGCTGGGCAAAATGAGGCTGGGCCCTCCTGGGCTGCATTCCCAGGAGCTGAGGCGTCCTGACTCACAGAGTGAGCTTGGAGGTCGGCACAAGACACAGGGCACAAGGACCCTGCTGATGAAACGGTGCGGTAAAGCAGCAGGCCGAAACCAGACAAAACCAGCCAAAACCAAGATGGCCACAAAAGTGACCTCTGGCTGTCCTCACTGCTGATGATATGCTAATTATCATATGCTAATTATACGCTAATTATCATACATTAGCATGCTGAAAGACACTCCCACAAGCACCAGGACAGTTTACAAATGCCATGGCAATGGCAAGAAGTTACCTCACATGGTCTAAAAAGGAGAGGAACGCTCAGTTCTGAGAAATCCCCACCCCTTTGCTAGAAAACTCATTAATAATCCACCCCTTGATTAGCATACGATCAAGAAATCACCGTAAAGATAACCAATCCGCAGCCCTCAGGGCTCTCTGCCCACAGAGTAGCCGTCATTTTATTCCTTTACTTTCCTAACAACTTGCTTTCACTTTACTCTGTGGGCTCGCCCTGAATCCTGCCCTGCGCCAGATCCAAAGAGCCTCTCTTGGGGTCTAGATCAAGACCCTTTTCCAGTAACAAAAGGAGGGGCAGGGCCTGTGCCTGAGAATTGCAGGTGGGGGACCCAGCAGGGTGGTATCCACAAAACCACAAAACTTCCCACGAGGGAAGAAGGCAGTTGTAAACTTCCTCTAGGCAGAGAGAATACAAATCCATGTGAAGACAGTGCCCCTCCAGTGAGAACGTTCCACCTCCCCGACCACCCACTTCGCCCGACTGTTGACCTTGGCAAGGCCAGACACAGGACTCAAAGAATTGGGGAGAGCTGGGCAAGAAGGAACACCCATTGCCCCTCAGAGCAGGCCACCAGGGGGCGAAGAGAGAACGTGAAGCCCCACATCTAGACTGCGCGGTGATTTAATGCGTCGGTAAGACATCTCTTCAAAGATGTCTATTGCCCGAACGTGACCATAAAAATAGGAAATTTGCATTCCTATTAGTAGTGACCATCTCCTAGTAGAAGGGAAACTGCTACTGAGCAGGTTTAAGCAGAAAGCAGGAAACAAAACTACAGTGACCGTGATGACGGTGTCCCGAGTCCTACTTATTTGATATTAATATAGCTAGTGTATTGTGCAAGAGAAAATACAATGTGAGAAATTTTAAAATGCAAAGTCTCAGCTGGATTTTTATTTTTACTTTGTTAAAGCATTCCCTAAAATGCAGCAGGAATATGAATGCTGCTCCTGGTCTTTGATCAATTTGGAGTTCCCTTTTCTCCTTCCTTCTTCACTCGCCATTCAACAACCAAACAAAACCAAACCGAAACTTTTTTTTAAGAGGAAAAAAAAAAAGGGGGAGGTCTCGCTCTGTTGCCCAGGCTGAAGTGTAGTGGTGCAATCTTGGCTCACTGCAGTCTCCACCTCTCCAGTTCAAGCAATTCTCCTGCCTCAGCCTCCTGGGTAGCTGGGATTACATGCATGCGCCACCACACCAGGCAATTTTTATGTTTTTAGTAGAGATGGGGTTTCACCATGTTGGCCAGGCTGGTCTCAAATTCCTGACCTCAAGTGATTCACCCACCTCTGCCTCCCAAAGTGCTGGGATTACAGGTATGAACCACCGAACCTGGCCCAAAACAACTTTTTCCAAACTCTGAAAGCAAAATACTTGCTTCCTATCACAACAGCTCGGAAGGCCCAAAGGTGCTAAGAGGGAGAGCGACATGGGCACGTCTCAGTTACCTGTGTCTGAAGAAGAGAGCGTTTTGCTGACGGGCGCACTGCGGCAGGAGATGGCCTGGACAGAGATGTCCTTCTCGATCACCTTCACCTTGACGGGAGTCTTCACTGGAGACTCTGCCAGAGGAAGATCCTGATTATAATGCTGGTCCTGTGGCTGACTGGATCAACAAGTCCCGAAAAGCGAAAGGACACCCCCTCACTGCACGTCTGCTGTGTGCAGCTGACGGCGGCAAAGCTTAACGAACGCTGCTGTGAGGGGAGGGGAGGCAAGAGCGGTGTCTGGAGTCCAGGTTGAAATAAAATTTCGGAGACATTTTAACCAAGCCAGAATTTCTGTTCTATTTTGCATCCCTGAACTGTGCCAACTCATCTATTCTGGGAGGATAATGCTTTTGCACAAGCAGAGACGCAGTGTAATTTGAAGAAATAAAGCATACACTTCTACAGACGCTGTCTCCAAGTGGCTGTGGAGGCAGGTACAGAATTCAGCTGGCTCTCACACCATGGCCGTCAAGCCTTCTCGCAGACGATTTTTAACAGAACAAAGTCTACAAGGACCACTCACATTGAATTTTTTCAAGAAAAAAGTGTGTGCTGTCCCCACATGCATGTAATAGAGTTCATGGGGTTTTTGTTGTTTTGTTTTTAAGGTGTTTCGCTCTTGTTGTCCAGGCTTGAGTGCAATGGTGTGATCTTGGCTCATTGCAACCTCTACTTCCTGGGTTTAAGCAATTCTCCTGCCTCAGCCTCCAGAATAGCTGAGACTACAGGCATGCACCACCACGCCTGGCTAATTTTGTATTTTCAGTAGAGACGGGGTTTCTCCATGTTGGTCAGGCTGGTCTCAAACTCCTGACCTCAGGTGATCCACCTGCCTCAGCCTCCCAAAGTGCTGGGATTATAGGCGTGAGCCGCCTCACCTGGCCCTATAATAGAGTTCTTAATTTAACTTAGTTGGAGTTATGCCTAAGTGCAACTATTTATAATATCTAGATTTTAGCTTCAGAATATCCACAGGATTGAACCTTGTTTCAGCTTATTGCATATGTGTTTGACAGAATAGAAAGGTAACTGTCTGACAAAAGGCTGAGCACGGGCATGGCCACTCAGCACCCTTCCCATGCTGTGAGACGCTCCTCACACGGGCATGGCCACTCAGCACCCTTCC